TCAGCTGAAGGCACGCACGCACGACATCAAAGTGCAGGTGGCCAGGAAGTACCAGCAGTACCCCACAGACAAGGCTGTGGGACCAGCGCCGCAGCCCCCCTCCTACGACCAGCTGGCAGAAGACCTGCAGGACTTCGTGACCGGCCAGACTGAGGCAGACGGCGTAATTCGGACAGCGGGCAACAATGCAGATGCACGCAGGATCGGCGTCAACTTACTTGATTCTGTCTATGGCAAGTGGGTCGATTCAGCCAGGCATGAACTTCAGCAGGGGACCCAAACAGAGCCTAGAGGCAAGCAGCCTGGCACACCGCTCGAGTTCGTTCAAGGGGGGGGGAGAGGGGTAGGAAACGGAGGAGGAGGAGGAGGAGGAGGAGGAGGAGGAGGAGGAGGGGGAGGAGGAGGAGGAGGACGAGGAGGAGAGGAGGACGAGGAGGCGGTGGAAGGGAAGAGGAGGAGGGGTAGGAGGAGGAGGAGGAGGAGGAGGAGGAGGAGGAGGAGGAGGAGGAGGAGGAGGAGGAGGAGGAGGAGGGTAGTAGGAGGAGGAGGAGGAGAGGAGGAGCAGGAGGAGGAGGAGGAGGAGGAGGAGGAGGAGGAGGGGAGGAGAAGGAGGAGGAGGGGCAGGAGGAAGAGGGGGGGGGGAGGAGGGGGAGGGGGAGGGGGGGATGACCTCCTCCAGTAGACACGGCATTCTCGCCTGAGGGTCACCGAATTTTATTCAGGAGCCCCGCTTTTGCTGGAGACTTCCTTGCAACTTATCAACAACAATCAGGCTCTTGCTTGAGACATCCCCAGCATGTACTCAGGCGCAGTGCTCTCGACAGTCAGGAATCGAGCTCTCGCTGGGGACTTTCACGACATTTACTCAGGAATGTTACGATCGTTTGGGGTCTTTGGGCTTATCCACCAGGCTGATCGTTCGACGCCATTCCGGCGACCCTCATATTCACATGGCTGACACGTCGACGCCGTATTCCGCCAAACCCCATCAGGCTCAACATTCGACGCCATTCCGCCGACCCCCTATTCAAATGGCCGGCGCCGTACTCCGCCAAACCCCATCAGGCTGATCATTCGACGCCATTCCGCCGACCCCCATATTCAAATGGCTGACCCGTCGACGCCGTATTCCGCCAACCCGAAAACATCAGGCGGAACATTCGACGCCATTCCGCCGACCCCTATTCAAATGGCTGACCCTTCGACGCCATGCTCCGCCACCATGCCCCGCCCCCTCCAATATATATATATATATATATATATATATAGATATACATGCTAATGGAGTTCCCCACATAGAGATATTAACGGTTTCGTCGGACCCATGGGGTACGACAACATCAACGCGAAGGAGAAACTCATCGAACGAGTAAGTACGCGCGAGAGGGCAGACGAAATATAGGAGGATGGGGGGGCAGGTGCTCAGGAAACGAAGCCTTGTAAATAGTACGGCTTCTTGATGCCATCCTCGCTCTGGCGGGGCACCGCTGGAAGGGGGGAGGGCTACGAAACCTGGTAAAGAGCAACGCTTTCCGCGACCCTCCTCGTTCAAGCGCGGCCTCACTGGAGGAGTGAAGGGGGGGCGCGAAACCGTGTAAACTGCATTGTTTTCCGATGCCCGCCTGGAGGAGGAGGGGGAGGAGGAGGAACGGGATAAGATGGATGATGGCGAAGAGCAGCAGCAGTACCATCGTCATCTTCACCAGTATTATCATCATCATCATCATCATCATCATCATCACCATCATCATCATAAACATCGTCAGCATCATCGGCATCATCATAACCATCATCACCATCAACATCAGCATCATCATCGTCAGCGTCATCGTCATTATCATCATCATCATCGTCGTCGCCATCATCGTCATCACCATCATCATCGTCATCATCATCACCACCACCGTCCTTGGCATTATCATCATCCGCATCATCGTTGACGTCGTCATCATCATCATCATCATCATCATCATCATCATCATCATCATCGTCGTCATCATCATCATCAGCAGCACCAGCAACGTCAGCATCAGCAGCAACATCGTCATCGTCACCAGCATCTGCAGCATCATCCTCGTCGTCGTCGTCGTCTTTGTCATCATCGTCATCATCATCGTCCTCATCATCAGCATCATCACCATCATCGTCCGCATCATCATCATAATCGCCGTTATCGCCATCGTCACCGTCCATCACCATTATCGCCATCGCCATCGTCATCGAGAACAGCAGCATACCCATCGTCATCACCATCATCATGATGAAGCCTTCCTCATCGCAGAACCCCCCACCCCCCCTCTTCCTCACCCTCCTCAGTGGGAAAAGTAGGACGTGAGATGGATAGGTAATGTTCTCCCCTCCTCCTCACCCATGTCAGTGGGAGGGACACGAAAACATTTGAATAGTGTGGGTTTCCGATACCATCCTCGCTCAGACGGGGCATCTTTGGAAGGGTGGGAGGGGCACGCAACCATGTAAATAGCATGGGTGTCCGATACCCTCCTCGCTCAGGCGAGGCCTCCCTGGAAGGGGTGGGAGGGGCACGAAACCAGGTAAGTAGTATGGGTTTCCGATACCCCCCTCGCTCAGGCGGAGCCTCCTTGGAGAGGTGGGAAGGGCACGAAACCATGTAGATAGTATGGGCTTCCGATACCCTCCTATCCCAGGCGGGGCCTCCCTGGAGGGATGGGAGGGGCACGAAACCATGTAAATACGATTGGTTTCCGATACCCTCCTTGCTCAGGCGGGGCCCCCCTGGAGGGGTGGGAGGGGCACGAATCATGTTAATAGTTTTGGCTTCCGATACCCTCCTCGCTCAGGCGCCCCCCCCCTGGAGGGGTGGGAGAGGCACGGAACCATTTGAATAGTATAAATTTCCGATACCTTCCTCGTTCAGGCAGGGCCCCCCTGGAGGGGTGGGAGGGGCACGAATCCGTGTAAACAGTATGGGTTTCCGATACCATCCTCGCTCAGACGGGGCCTCCTTGGAGGGGCGGGAGGGGCACGAAACCATGTAAATAGTATGGGTTTCCGATACATTCATCGCTCATGCGGGGCTTCCCTGGAGGGGTGGGAGGGGCACTTAACCATGTAAATAGTATGGGTTTCCGATACCCTCCTTTCTCAGGCGGGGCCTCCTTGTAGAGATGGGAAGGGCACCAAACCATGTAAACAGTATGGGTTTCCGATACCTTCCTCGCTCAGGCGTGGCCTCCTTGGAGGGGTGGGAGGGGCACGAAACCATGTCCTCGCTCAGGCGGGGTATTGATATGGGAGGCGGGAGGCGGGAGGGAGAAGGAAAGGATGTTCTGAGAAAACAAGAACCCCACTCAGGATGTGGGGGAACAAATGAGGGGGGAAGGAGGAGGAGGAGGGGAGGAGGAGGAGGATGAGGAGGAGGAGGAGGAGGAGGAGGAGCACGGGGGAGGAGGACGGGGGAGGAGGACGGGGGAGGAGGAGACGCAGCAGCAACAGGAGGAGGAGGAGGAGCAGCACGATGTGGATGGGGAGGAGGACAATGAGGAGGAGGAGGAGGAGAAGGAGTGGGAGGAGTAGGAGTAGGAGTAGGAGTAGGAGTAGGAGTAGGAGGAGGAGGAGGAGGAGGAGGAGGAGGAGGACAAATATAAGGAAGAGGACAAGGTGGAGGAGGAGGAGGAGGAGGAGGAGGAGGAAGAGGACAACGAGGACGAAATGGGAGAGGTGGGGGAAGACGACGAGGAGGAAAAGGAAGAGGAAGAGGAACGGGAGGATGAACAGCGTGTACAAATGCATGGACCATGTGTGCAATTAACTAGATGCATGGTATTATTGTAGTGTGGTGCAATGCTGCTATGCGATGCTACTATGCTACGCATGCTGCCATGCATGCGTAGCACACTGCTATGGCTGCTGATATGCTGCTATGGTGCTGTTATGATGATGTGATGATCTGATATGTTATGCGGATATGTCGCTGCTATGTTGATATGATATGATGCTGATATGCTGCTATGCGTCCTGCTATACTGCTACGCCGCTACCAGGTACATGGCTCGAAAGGTTACCACCAGCACAGCTCTAGGATCATCCTCCCACGGTGGAGGCAACCCCCTGTGTTGGTGTTGGTGCCCATTCCCAAGCTTCCAATCATGGTAGCACGATGGCAGTACTCACGGACCGGTCCCCTTCATGCTAAGTTCGGCGGCGGCCAAGACGGGGGTGATGACCAGGGAGGGTGAATACCACGTCTCCACGGATTTCATGGCCCGCGTGTGTTCTTCCAGTGCGTCCCCTGGTCCCCCCCTCCGTCCGCGCACATGCCTCGGGCCGTGATTTGCGACCCCCCCTCTTGGACGCCCCCGTCTTGGAAGGTTGGGATTGGAAAGCGAGCGTGCAGTGTGGCGCCGCCGGCCCGCTTGCTATACGCGATCCCCCACCGTGAGGCAGAGCGCGCACCGAAGAAGCCCCTGCAGGGGAGATAGTTCGCACAGAGGGGGCTCCCGCGGGGGGATCGCGTCACAGGGATAGCGTGCTTCGCGGAGATCGATGTTGCACACTATCAAAAATGATGTTTCTGATACGGATGCTGATCATAATCGTACTGGTGTTGATGGTGTCGTTGTTGCTGCTGCTGCTGATGATGGTGCTGCTGCTGATGATGTTGATGATGGTGATGGTGATGGTGATGGTGATGATACTGATGGTGATGCTGATGAGGAGGATGGTGATGGTGATGCTGGTCATTTTTATCATCATCAACATCAGCATCACCATCACCACCATCACCATCATCACCATCTCCACCATGGTCATCATCATCATCCTCATCATCATCTTGATCATCCTCATCATCCTCATCATCACCGTCATCTTCATCATCATGATAATCATCATCACCGCCACCATCACCATCATCATCATCATCATCATCATCATCACCATCACCATCACCATCACCATCACCACCACCACCACCACCACCATTCCGAAGCCCAACCGTAAGCATCCGCCGGCCCAGACAGGAGACGAGCCGCGAGATCGCACGCCTGGCCCATGAGGAGCGCCGCCCGACGCCCCCCCCCCCCCCCGCGCCTCTCTGCGGGTGCTTTTGCCGCCGCCGCGCCGCGCCCGCGGCCAGTTTTCCCGCCGCCTTCGTTCCGCCCCGGCTTCTCGACCCAGACATGATCACGTCGTATAACATCAGGACGGGAGGTTTTTGGCCATCTTCGGCCTCGGGGGCCCTCGTCGGGCCTCGGGAGAATCAAACAACGACTCAAGATGAAAAACTGGTCCCGGGGAACGGGTCGGGACTTCCAGGGACCCCGTCCTGAAAAAAATCAGGACGTCGCATGTTTGGGCTTGGCTTCGCTCGGACGTGCGCATCTGTTCTTGAGAGTGCTTTTGTTGTTGCCCTCGGGGCCATAGAACGCGCGTGATGTCTTCTACGCGCCCCCCCCCCCGTCTCCCCCCCCATCACTTAAAGCTCCCCCCCCTCAGTGCGTCCCCGTCCCCGGCACTGCCGCAGTGCGTCCCGCACCACGGGCTGGGGGAGGGGGCGTCACGCTACGACCCTCCTGTCCACCCACCGCCCCTCCCCTCCTCCTCCTCCTCCTCCTCCTCCTCCCCCTCCTCCTCCTCCTCCTCCTCCTCCTCCTCCTGCTCCTCCTCCTCCCACCTGCCACCGCTCCGGCGCCCGCAGATCACCTGCTTCATCACCGCCGAGTCCCAGTCACACGCCCGCTATCGCCGCGAATGGAAAAATGCGCTCCTCCGCGAGGACCACCGAGGAGGCGTCTTGCATCATCTTGCCACGAATTCAGCGCACGGCGTCGAAAAATGCACGGGGAATGGACGCCCGAGCGATGGCAAGTCGTTGGTTTAAAGTCTGGCATGTCCCTCTACAGGAGGAATGCTCAAAGATAGTCTAAAAATAGCCCATGGACGATACATTATTATTGACTATGTTTGAACATGTTTTTACTATGTTTAATTTGTCTTCCAAAATCCCCCCGTAGGAGGACATGTCTGACCGAATCGGTGGTTCCCAGGCATTCAAGGCATTCAAGATTTGTTGTAGTTTTCTTCTCTGGTGGGGGGGCGGGCTCTTGGCCGGGCCCCGTGACCGCCAGAGAGCGACTCGGGACGGAAGACCGGCCACGGGGAAGGGGTCGGCACTTCTGGGGGCTCCGAATGGAAACCATCGAGACCTCGGATCTCTGGGTCTGGCCCTCCTTGCGACGAGGGGAAAGCGGAATGTCCTCACTTCCGCTTCCCCTTCACCGCGTGGAGGGCCAGAGCCCGAAGCTCGCGCCTCCTTCGCCACCTCCTCTCCCCCCCTCCTTTCACCGAGGGGGCGAGGGAGGGAGAAGAGAGGCGGGGTGGGGGAGGCAGATCTCACGAGGCAACATCAAATGAATGATTCACGCTGCCTCCTCTTGCCTCCTCCCTCCTCCTGCCCCCCTCCAACCTCCTCTTCCTCCTCCCTCGTGTCCCTTCTTTTCTTCTGGAGCAGGCGGATGAGAAGGTTGAGCGGGGGGAAGCAGCAGGAGTACCTCCTTCCACCTCGTCCATTTTTTCTCCCCCTCCTCCGACCGCCTCCCCCTCCTCCCCCCCCTCTCGAAACGCCTTGGATCCTTCGGACATCTTGGCGCGCCTCCAGAGCTCTGTCGGACGCCCAAGGAGGGTGGCTGGGCGGCAGGCGGGAGGAGGAGGGAGCAGGAGGAGGAGGAGAAGGAGGAGGGGGAGGAGGAGGAGGAGGAGGAGGAGGAGGAGGAGGAGGAGGAGGCGGAGGAGGAGGAGGAGGAGGAGGAGGAGAGGGAGTAAAAAGACGGAGGGAGGAGGTGGAGGAGGAGGAGGAGGAGTAGGAGGAGGAGGAGGAGGAGGCGGAGGCGAGGCGGAGGCGGAGGACGAGGAGGAGGCGGAGGCGGAGGCGGAGGCGGAGGTGGATGCGGAGGCGGAGGCGGAGGCGGAGGCGGAGGCGGAGGAGGAGGAGGAGAAGGAGGAGAGAGGACAGAGGAGAAAAAGGAGCACGAGGAGAAGGAGGAGAGAGAGAGGAAGGGAGAGGAGAGGAGGAGGAGGAGGAGGAGAGAGGAGGGATAGGAGAGAGGAGGATGAGAGAGGAAGGGAGAGGAGAGGAGGAGAGAGGAGCGAGAGAGGAGATAGAGGAGAGAAGAAGGAGCACGATGAGAGAGGATAGAGGAGGAGAGAGAGAGGAAGAGGAGGATAGAGGGGAGAGGAGACTCGCCGATGGGGACGCGCGTGTCCAGGCCGGCAGAGGCAAGCGCCTGCGCGGCCCAGCTCAATTGGAGGCCGCGCGCAGCCTGTGTGAGCAGGGGGTCCCAGAAACGAAGTCCCCCGCTGTCGCCGAGGCGACTGGACAAGAGGCGCGGGGCGGTGACAGGGGCTGAACGCCCCGCTTTTGCGCCCTGCGGCATAGGCGAACGAGATACGACGTAAACATAACAACTCAGAGGTCCACGCGGATTTCTCGGATCGGCGCTGGACCCCCCTCCCTGGCGCGCGGAGCGCGCCAGGGCGGCAGCGCCGATCCGAGAAATCCGCGCGGACCTCCGAGTATGTTGTGTTTATGTCATTTTGCGTTCCCCTACGGAAGGACGGGCTTCCGCTCAGATAGCTCCAATCGGCATAGGGGCGTCGGCAACCAGCAGTATCGAGGATCGCACGCTGGGCACCCCCGACGTGAGTGAGCGCGGAACACTCGCTAGTCGTCGCGCGGGGCACAGCTGCGAGAATTCGGGGGAAAACGGGCCAGCCCCAGGGCCAGCGGGAGGCCGTGCAGCGAGCTTGTTCAAGGGCCTGCCTCACGGCCGCCAGGTCGGCCGTGGCGGGTGGCGGGCGGGGCGGCCGACGAAGGGGCGTCCACGCGCTTGAGCGCGTGGCAGGCGCTGGGTGAGGGCACCGTGGCGCTCGAGGGCGCCGTGGAGCGCAGCGGTGATAGAGGTGCGTTGGGTTTGCAGGGCCGCCGCGGGAGCGGCCAGAGCCGAAGCCCGCGACGCCGTCCGTAACGCCAGGTGGTCCGTGGCGCGGCTGAGGTCAGCGACGGGAGCGTGGAGGTGAGCAGTGAGCGCCAAGCGGCTGTCGTTCCCGAGAAGAGCTTGCTCAACGGGAATGGCAATTGGGAGTCCCCGTGAGCGGGAGGGGCCTCGGGTACAGCGATGAGTGCTCGAATGGTGTCGGCGCCCGGTGTGGTGTGTTGCTGGCTGGCGGTGTGGCGGGTCCCGATTGGACAGGGGTGGGTGCAAGACGCGGTGGGGGGGCTGGTCACGACAGGAAAGGGGAGAGGATAGAGGGGGAGGACATGCTAGATGCGCGCGCCGTATCTGACAGCCGATCCCTCCCTCCAACCCTTTCTCTCATTGCGCTGATGGTTACGCTATCCGTGGACGCGCGTCATAGCAGACCTGTAATAATTCCAAACAAAAAACCCGTCGTGTTCTGCGCACATAGGAGGGGGGGAGGAGGAGGAGGAGGAGGAGGAGGAGGAGGAGGAGGAGGAGGCGCAGGCGCAGGAGCAGGAGCAGGAGCAGGAGCAGGAGCAGGATGTGGCGTGTGAGCAGGAAGATGTGCAGGAGGACAAGGTGGGCGATGAGGACAGAGGAGGACAAGGACGAAGAGCATCAGCACGAAGTGAAGTGGAATGGGCGGGAGGAGTAGAAGGACCAGGTGAAGGTAGAGGAACTGAGCTGGAAGGCAAAATGGAGGATGAGGAAGGAGAAGGACGACGAGGACGAACGAGGAGAAGGACGACGAGGATGACGACGAGGACGAGGAGAAGGACTCACGCACTGGCTTGCGCGTTTGACTCTGGCCTCACCGCGGGCCCCGCGAGCCACTGCGTCACTCTTTGCGCGTAGGCGATCAAGGTTGCCCGCTGCGATCTGTTCACGGCGAGGGCGGGTGTGGGACCTCTGCGTTTCCGCTGGGCGCCCGTCAGGAGAACCCCCGGCTGCTGGCGGAGCTGCAGGGCCGCGCCGCGGCCGCGGCGGACTCGGTCGGGGCTCGGCCCACACCATGATTGCGCCGACTCTGCTGGGCACCCCGCGTGGGAGGATCGATTCCAGGCTCAGAAAATCTGATTTGCTTCCGGTGCGCACTGCGCACGCCTAGTGAAGCAGGCGAGCGATTGCTGTGTTGTGCGCATGATGCCGGCGGCAAGTACGTGACCCTCGCAGGGTTCGAGCCACCATTAGATTCCCGGTGGGAGTGGACCATCGGCGCAAAGCCGCCCCGCCCCCCTCAATCCTGTGAGGTCGATTGCCCCCAATATGCTTGACATGCCTTCAATATGTTGCAGATTGGCTTCAATACATCTGACATTCTCATCAGAATCATGCGAGATTGCAGCGCTTGCCAAGATGAGAACGCAAAGTGCGTGCGTAGCACCTGCGTGCTATGATGAAGATGAAACAGAGCTGGGAGATGTCTTCCCGCACACCCAAAACACCCTTCACCAGGCGCACCACAGTGCAGAGAGTGCGTGCTGGCTTCCAGAAGTGCGGTATTCAGTAGAGGAGACGCTAGCAGAGGAGGAACTGAAACAGGATGCTATTATCAACGCTTCGCGTATCCCCACCAGCGCGCCATTTGGGCTGCGTCTACTCGCTGGTAGCCACCGGGATTTTCGGACGCCACCGGGAATGGGTCTACCAGTTCTCTTCGCCCTTCTGAGCTGCCGCCCGTTTGCTGCGCCTGTCTTGCTTTTCCGCTTTCCGCTGCCTAGTCGTGGCCCGGCTAGAGTTCGGACGCCTTTTGACCCGCTTCACGAGGCCGTTCACCAAAAAGTATCCCCACCAGCCCGTCCAGGAACGATGCCCAGGGGAGTTGTCCTTAGCGCGGGAACGTGGCATTATCCGGATACCTCGGGGAGCCCCAGTGGGACAGAGGCCCCTCAGATGTGTCTTTGGGTCTCTTGGCGGCCTCTTCGAGGCCTTTTGTGGCGTCTCGGGGCCCCATGGGGCCTCTCGGGGGTCGCTTGAGAGCATCTCGGGGCCTCTTGGGAGCCTCTTAAGACCCTCTTGGGGTCCCTCTTGGGACTCAATTGAAAGCGTTTTGGGTTGTTTGGGGAGCACTTTGAAGGCGATCGATAAAACCGGGAGAGGGGGGGGGCAAGTCAGCAAAAATGGGTCAGAAACCTCTGGCCGATCATTGACGTCGGCTTTCTCGCTGAGGCCACCTCGGACGCTCTGACCGCTCACGAGACCCCCAGTCCGGACCCAGGGCGAGAGGAGAGGGGGAGGGGTCAAGCTAACTCATGCTCCTCCTCCTCCTCCTCCCTCTCCTCCTCATCCTCCTCCTCCCTCCTCCTCCTCCTCCTCCTCTCCTCCTCCCCCTCCTCCTCCTCCTCCCTCCACCTCCTCCTCCTCCTCCTCCTCCTCCCCCAGAGGACGGCCGTCTCGCTCCCTCCCCTCCGCCCCCCCGCCAGAAACCGAGCACACCTAAGTCTCGGCATGGGGAGGGGCCACCACCGGGAGGAGAACGTATCGCCGATCTTGTTCGACTTGTTGTTGCCGAAGGAGGTATGCTCTATGCGATGCCGTACATGTGCCACAAACAGTGTTTCTCCAGTACCCCCCCGAAAATATGTTCCATGCTCCCCTGTGGAAGTATATTCCACACCAGAACGTGCCCCTGCATGATTTTCTACCCCTCCAGCCGTCATGCACGTCCGCATGCTCGATCGCTGGACGCGGTCCATGGGTCCCCGGGAACACCTCCCCTCCAAATCGACCGTACCGGGCTCCTGGGGGAGGGGTTTGGGGAGGGGGAAGCATCTCACACGCCGATGAACCCCAAGGGGTCGTCGGATTTCCTTCAGGCGGCCCCCAGTCGCCCACATGGTGTTGGAGCCGAGAGCTCGGAGAAACGTATCGGTCATCACCCTCACCGTTGGAGGAACCCCAGGCACAGGCATGCAGAATCTAACAGACCAGAAAACATGGCACTTGCATCACCAGCCCAGACATGTTCACTGAGCCTCACGGGCCTGGGAGAAATGGGGGAGGAGGAGGAGGAGGAAGAGGAGGAGGAGGAGGAGGAGGAGGAGGAGCAGGAGGAGGAGGAGGAGCAGGAGGAGGAGGAGGAGGGGGAGGGGGAGGACGAGGAGGAGCAGGATCGGGGGCAGGGGCAGGGGCAGGGGCAGGGGGAGGAGAGCAGAGGGTGGGGGAGGGGAAGGAGGAGGATGAGGCGATGAGGAGCAGCAGAAGGGGGGGTGGAATTCTCGATCCCCTGGCGTCAGCCGAAGCCGCAGCGGCAGACAGCCCTCGTCCGCGGCGGCGCCCGATCCACCGTCCTGCCTCCCTCCGACGGCGCTGCGGAGCACGACGCATCCTCGTGCCGAGTCAAGCCGACCCCCTGCCTCCTCTTGCTTCGATGGCTGCCTCCTCTTACTTCTGGGGCGGCGGGCGGCGGGAGTCGCCCACCCAGCTCCTCCCCATGGGTGCTCGAGGAAGGCATGACGCCCAGTCCGACGTTCGAAGACGATTACCCTGCGCCTGCTTGTCAGAAGCTGCTCAAGAAATGCACCCCTTGAGCTTTCCCAAGGGCCTCTCATGACCAGGTGATGCACCAGCGGGAGATTCGGGGTGACGGCACGGTTTTGGTACTCGGGTCGTTCTCCGAAGATGTCTCGGGCAACCGTGGTTTCTAGGGCCTATTAGGGTTCCAAAACGGTGCGGTGACGGACCGTGCGAATCCAGAGGCCAGACAATAGCAAACAGCTTCCTCGGATTCCACAGGACCGCCTACAATTCGATGCGATTCGATTCGCTGGCTGGTGCCGCGATTCCGATCCGATTCGGCATGATTCATAGGCGTCGGACGGGGGGGCCAGCCGGAGCTGGGCGCGGCGATCTGCTTTCGATCCGATCTGGGCCGATGTGGTGGCGATCCGACCCGATTTCGCGATCCGATCCGACGTCGGAGCGATCGGGATGAGGAGGCGGAGGAGGAGGAGGAGGCGGAGGAGGAGGAGGAGGAGGAGGAGAAGGAGAGCGGAGGAGGAGGAGGAGGAAGGAGGAGGAGAAGGAGGAGGAGCAGGAGGAGGAGGGAGGAGGAGGAGGAGGAGAAGGAGGAGGAGGAGGAGGAGGGGGGGGGGAGGAGGAGGAGTGAGGAGTGAGGAGTGGAGGAGGAGGAGGAGGAGGAGGAGGAGGAGGAGAAGGAGGAGGAGGAGGAGGAGGAGGAGGGCGCCCGCCACCTGCGAGGGGGGGGCTGGCGCCGCCTTTGCAAGGAAGGGCGAGGGGGCTGAGGAGGAAGGCCGCCGCCTGCGAGGGGTGGCAGAGGGACGAGTTGACGTCCGATCCGATCCGATGCAATGCTCTGTAGGGGAACGAAGAATTACATAAACATAAACACTCGGAGGTCTGCGCGGATGTCTCGGATCCGCGCTGGATCCGCCTCCCTGGCGCGCGGAGCGCGCCAGGGGCGCCGCCCGAGGCGCCGCCGGGGGCCCCAGCGCCGATCCGAGAAGTCGGCGCGGACCTCCGAGTGTTTATGTTTATGTCATTGCTTTCTTCCCTGGGGACGAGGAGGACGTCCGATCCGATCCGATGCGATGCTCTCCGAGCCTCGGCCGCTGGCCGCGGCGGGGCGCGCCCCCCCGCGGCCGAGGTCGCCGGCGGCGAGGCGCGCCTGGCGCAGCTCGGCGCCGCCCTGGCCGCTGGCCGCGCCGAGCACGCGCGCGAGCGGGAGCCTCGCGGTCCCTCCCTCGGCGGCACGTACGGCCAAGACGCTCACCCATCGGTCGTTGAAGGTCGGTACTTTGGGTACCCGGGTTCCAATCTATGTCATGCGCCTTCCTACGTCAACGATCGTTCGCGGCCGGTGAGACATCGGCCAGGAAGATTCCGCGGATGGGAAGACGCAGTGGTCATGTTCGCAACTGTTGAACAGTGGGACCAATGGACCTATGCAGCCACGACCGCCGATTGGGACAAGCACGAAGATGAGTTTGTGAACTTCTCATGGAGATGAGTGGTGAGTGCACCGCGCTGATGTTTCGAGGTCCTTTCCGAAGGGCCAGCGTGCTCGCGCACGCCTGTCGCCCGTATCTGGGTCGCCCTCTGCGGCGATGACATTTCGTTCGTTACTTCAATGATCGAGTGGCTTCACCTCTTCCGTCCTCCTCAGGGGGCAGGCGCACACCCAATCTACTCTCAACGCATTCCCGCTTCATGTTTCGACCTACTTCTTCCGACCGATGGGTAAGTCTAGTCAACCGCTTGGGGTTCGGAGGAGGAGGAGCGAGGCGACGAGGAGTGGCGGACCTCTTCCTCGGGACGTCGCCCGAGGGCGGCCTCCTCGCTGTGGGGGCCTGAGGAGGAGGGGGGGCGAGGAGGAGGAGGATGAGGATGAGAAGGAGGTGGAGGAGGAGGAGGAGGAGGAGGATGACCCAGGATTACCCCAAGCCGACGCAGTCGGAAACGCCTCTGGAAGGGGGCTCACTTGAGAGGCCTACCCTCGGAGAGCCGTTGGAGGACCCCCAGACCCATCTTAGTGGGGGGCTCGCCCCGCTCACACTTACACTCCTTTCCGAGATCGCTTATATGGCCCACCCCCTTCTGCGCCCTGCAACCACAACGCGTGCACACCAAATACGGCTCATCGAACGTGAGGGTGTGTGACCAGTGCACTATGCGGGAGCCGATGGCTATACAGGCACGCGCTTGGGGCTGGAGCGAGGGGGGCCAGGGCACTCGGTATCAGGCCAATTGTGCAGCACACGATTGGAAGCACTTGTGCTCACGCTGCTCATACAACACATACGTGCCCAACGCGCGCGGCCCTCCTGCACGAGCTTGTGCGAGGAGTATTCCTGTGCGCGGGATAGTGCCGACGGCTTCGACCTGCGGAGGAAACTCCGCTCCTGCCGCAAGGTCGGGGCGGCACGTTCCCCGGACTCAAACGCACACAAAGTGGCCCTCGCAGTGCGGAGTCTGACCAACGCCAGCACATAATTCACCCATTTGAAACAGTCAAGCTGGTTCTTCGGGATGGCGTGTGTCTCGGCGGCTCTTGCCG